AGAATGAGCTAAAATATATTTTATCTTACAATATACAAAAAGATGCTGACTGTGATGAATGTAAAAAAGCAAATAACAAAATAAATGAATTTGAAAATTACCTAAAGGAAGAGAATAATCAAAAATTTTGTATAGAAAACAAGAAAACCATCGACAATTATATTGAACTTAATCGTCAATCTGCATCATCAAAGTTTGTGCATATAGTAGAAGCCAATTTTATTCGGAAAGGTTATTCGTCTCAGTTTTTAAACATTATTAACAAAGCTTTGGAAGATATCAGGAACAAATCAAATGGAAAATTTTCTGATGATGAAATTACACAAAAAATTATAGAAATTTGGAATTTATTGCGTAATAATATATCATTAAATTACCCGGTAACTTCAATAGAGGATGCAATAAATTCTGAAGTCAAATCTGCATACCCAAGTTGGATGCCAATTGAAAATAAATACAAAGATGGAACCATTCCAGCTTTACATGATTTCGGACTAATAACAAAACTAGTTTTACCAAAACAAGATATTGATATTATCGAAGAAAAACTTGATAACTTAACAGATTTAATTTTAAGAGGAAAACCTCAACATTTTTATAATGGTATAGTGAATGACCTCAAAAGTAAAATAGAAAAGACGTTTTCTGATAATTCAAGATTTTTTAAAGCTTTTCCTTTGTTTAAACGTCAAGCTCACATTTATGCCTTCTTAAAATTTAAATTAAAACTAAAAGAATATCAGAAAATATGGGATGAAGAAAATCATCCACTTTGCATACTTGATCAAAAGAAAGAAGAATACTCTAATATTATTAAAGCTCGGCTTCAACACGAATCTACACTTGTTTCGGAAGCATATATTGTTGCTGACTATTTATTAAGAGTTATTCATAAAAAAGCAATGAAAGCAGGGAACTGTGCACTCAAAGATGCGATAAAGAAGATTCCATGGTTGACTCGTACAGAGACAGTAAGATTAAAGTATTTTGAAGAACTCGCTAATGAGGTTCAAAATGGCTATAAAGAAAATGCTTTAAATCATTTCAAAAACCCGAAACATCATTTTGAAAATTGGTTCAAATTTATTATTGATAATGTTGTAGATGAGAATCCTGAGCACAAATACAATGATACTTTTAAAAAAGAGATAAACGAGGTTTATCTTAAGATTTATAGTTGTAAAAATTATGAACAAATTAAATTATTTGTAAATTTTATTTTTCATATCAGATAAAATTGCATTAAGGATAAACTAAAAAAAAAAATTGAAAAAAGCGATATTAATGAAATGAGTATGACAAGTAACAGAAAGAGAAAACCTGTAAATCAAATCACTAACTTTTACTTCGATGAACTTATCTTCTAAAGAATCTGGTCTAGCAATGATTACAAGTCGATTCAATAGTGACTAGAATATTTAGCTGCATACATATTTGATTATATGTAATCATTGCTAGATCAGATTCTTCTTTGGTGACAAAGTTCGTCACAATGGAAGTTAGTGATTTGATTTATGGATTTTTCCTTTCCGTCACACATATATCAAATTTTCTGCGACATAAAAGAGTATTGAAAGGTTATCAAGTAAGTTTCATAACAATGTGTTATCAATCGCTCCAAGGTTTTTTTACTTGTATAACAAAAATATATAGAATCTTTACTAATGCTGAAAATCAAGATTCTAGTCATATGATTCACTATCCAAAATTAATTTATTTAACAAAGATCTCACATATTTACTTTTTCTTTACTATAGTATTTTTCATTTCTTTTATATCTTATAAGGATGGATTCAGAGATGTACAGATCAAGTTTTGACACATTTTCAATTAGTATACACGTTTATTTAACTTGTTTGCATACTTATTTTATTTATTATTTTTTTTATCAATAGTGGAAAATTCGGATTAATAGATCTCTTTTTATTTGGAATCTTTGTTTAAACTTGAAAATAAAATATCAAAACAAAACAATATTGCCTGCCCTTCGACAAAATTATTTTACAATACCTTAGGTTGCAAAGTTAGTATTGAGAGAATTAGGGTATTCACAAGTGGCTCCATTAATTAATTAGCTAGTAACTGAGATATTGCTCAAATCATCATGATTAATAGACTGATCAATGTGGTTAATCGAAGAACGACTTGTTAAAAATTCATTATAGCGAAATGCGGATTCTAAATTTTAACCAATCAGAGCAACTCTATGAAAAAAAAATTTGGTTTGTATCTTCAGGTTTTATTCATCAAAATGGTAACTCACTTGGTTGGTTTATTCAATTTCTGACTAATTAAACCTTGTCTCCAATCCATTAATTGAGGTCTTGAGAATACCCTTAGTCAAGTGGCGAGTGATACTATTATTATTAATTATTGTGTTTAAGTGCCGCCAAGAAAAAACCTGTTATCAGGTTTTCAATTATATTTTGTACTAGACACAATCTCTAATTAGTTCCTAATTAGTTAAATAGATTATGTCCGATACAAAATATAATTAAAAGCCCGGTGACAGGTTTTCCTTTGACGACACTCATTTCTGAAAATATTAATTTTATTTACGTATTCCTTTATCTTATAAATGCCTAACTGAAGTTAAAAAAAAATAAATGCTGGTCAACTATTTATTACCAAAAACCTGTTGCCATGGATTATGATGATAAAATGTTTCAAACTGGCTCCTGTTATCAAGATACATTTGAAGCTAAAAAGGATAAAAATAAAATATTTATCCTTTTTTGAAAAAGAGAATTTTTTTTATCCAAATGATAACATTGTTCTTAAGCAGGTCAAATTTGAAATTAACGGTTGTGCATATAATATCAATTATGGAAAGATTGATAAACAATTAGTCGAACTACAAACTTAAGCTATTGTAAAGTCAATTGATCGTGGTCGAATTTCTCAAGAGGCGTATAGATCTTTGGCTAGAATCGATGAATCACTAATTAAAGCTGGAGCAGTTTATGATATGAGGCAAGAAATCACATGTAGAGTAAATAAAAAAATTCCCATTAGTTTAGTTGATATTGACCAACCAACCATTTTGAGCCAATTACTGAAGAGCCTGATATTACTGATCCAATCATAGTTTTTAATATCGTTACAACTATCGGAAAAGGTGAACACTGACGAATTACTGATATACTTAATTACATAATTCAATTGTATGTTCAAAAAGAGGTTTTAAAACCTGGCTCTACTTTGCATTTACGAATATCCAGAGATGGACAAAATATCAGAAAAAAAGTGAAGCATGTTATGATAACTGTTGCACTTTTGAACAATTTGGACAAATTGCATAAACCTGAATCACATTATACGTTAGTTCTGTTTCCTGGTATGGAAAATTATTATTCACTTCAAAATGTGCTTGCCCCTTTAATTTCAGATTTGCAATTTTTAAGTGAACACAGATTTTATGAGATTGGAGGACGGCATTAGAATGTCAAACTATATTTTAGTTTAGACTGGAAATTTCTAGCCATATGCTTAGAAATGAATACTGCAAATTCAAAATATTTTTGCCCATGGTGTTATTGTAATAAGGAAAATTTAACTAATACTGTTGAATATAGCATAATTTCTAAGAGTATGGAAAATATTAAAGAATCTTATAATACACTTAATGAACACATTCGGCCCTCTCTTTTTAATATGATTCCAATTAAACATTGGGTATGCGATAGTCCACACGTTATGTTAAGAATAAGTGATCGACTCTGGAAGCTATTTTTATCAGATCTTCAGTATGGTGAATTAAATAAAAATTCTCAAAACTTAATTTTAATTGAAATGAAAAGGTTGGGAGTTAATTTTTATTTTTGAACAGATCAACAAACACAAAGTTTAACGTATATATCATTAATAGGTCCCGATAAACTTAATATTTTGAAAAATTTTGATTTTACTAAATTTGTTTTAAGAGATTTTTCTAAAGAATGTGCTATTCAACTTCGTCAACTCTGGACTGGTTTTTTTGATTTATACAAGATGATGACATTACCAAATATAACAGGATCACAATTTAGAATCAAAGCAGAATTATGGTTAAAGTTATTTTTAACACCATCCAGAGGACAACCAAATCGATCTACTTTTAGCCGTGGCATGTATCGGGTAAATATATATAGTATCGGTATAGCTAAAGATGTGACCCGATTAATTTTTTTTATATAGAAAAAACAAGTTTTTTCTATAGATCGGGTCATATAACTGGCACCTTCTATTTGATACTGAGGTGTAACAAATCATTTGTAAGTATTCATATAAATAAATATTTATTAGCCATAACAGGTGTTTTGTCATCCACTGTGCCAAATAAAAGGTATAAACTTAATTTGTTTTTTGTTTTTAATTTTTATTTTATATAATGATATTGATAATTATATTTTATATAACAAAAAGGTAGTTGATGCTACGCCTTATATGCATGTGTTAGTATATTACATTCACGAGTTGATTGATATTCATAATAAATTTGGAATAGATGCTTTTAATTGTTCAGCCATTGAAAAAAAGAATCATCTTCAAGTTTGTTGCTATTTTCAGTCTACGCTTAAAGATGGTAGTCATGAAAAGTATAGAAGATCATATATTCTTGAATTATTAGAACATGAAAATCAAGAATTGTTTTTTCAACTTTTTGAGGTACCAAGCTATTTTAAAAAAACCAAATCATATAGATTAGATTAGTTTTTCATATCTTACTTTTGAATTCTTTGACCGTTAGTTTTAATATGGCTTTTGGTACAGCTATAAGGATTTTTATAAAATTAGCCTTAGTTTTATTTTCATTTATTACATATGTGAATGCATAGAAATAGTCATTATCAAAATAAAATAATGATCAATATTAATACTTCGAAATAGTATTTAGTTGGATTTCAAATTAATTCATGTCCGACTTGGATTTTTACTAGCTAATAAACCAAAAATTCTAATTTAAAAATTACTGTATTTTATCGTCTAATAGATAAATTTTATTTTAATTATAAGTTTTATGAACTAGGTGTATATAAAATTATGCTAATTAAACACAATTAATGTAATACTCTATAGATTTAAAATAACTGAACTAGTGTTTTAACCCGGGTTGGGTCAACCTGAAATAGTTAGTAAATTATTATTTGTTAAATGGAATAGTAAATACTGTGATGTCTGGATTTGATAAATATAGATTATTAAAAAATTATTCTGTTGGGATTTTTTGATAAATGTTTGAGCTAAAATAGAAAAAAAAATTTGTATCTATTAAATGCGATTATTCATGTTTATTACTTGTTACTATAACTACGTATTCATATTAAAATAAATTCTGCAAGCTTCTATTTTGTTATATTACCTTAATTTTGGGGGTTTCTAAATTCAAAAAACTATTAGGATGTAATCAACTTAACATTAGCCAGTAAATCTAGTAATATAACATTTATAATAGTTTAAAGCTTCAACTTACTATGATTCGCAATCTATATTTTATAATAGCCTAAATCTTCGATCTATATCTTAATCTTTAGACAAGGAAGAACTTGAACAAGATAAAAAACTCTTGCAGATAACTTATAATGTGTAGCACAAGCAGAACTTGACTTGTGCTAAATAAGACAAAAAAAGTGATCTATTAGAATCTTAAATCTTTTTCGATCTACTTGAACTTAAAAAGTTATGCCCAGGTGTTATAAACAGACATTGGGTAAATTATTTATACAGTTTAAAGTACTTTTTTGAATATAATATTTCACTAACAAAAAATTACTATAAAGGCATTTCTAAACTTCAAAAAAACATAAGTATCAAAAATAATCAGTAACTCACTTATAAGCAAAAATTTTTACTATTTACTGTATTATGTCATATTAACTATATATAAGCTCTATATGCTGAAAATGGCTAACAAAAAAAAAGATTGAGATATTATGCGTAAGATCTAAACTAAAGAACTTTACTATACTGTTTAACATGCTCACGATAAATTCTTATACAGTATGTAATTATTGGTTTGTAAACTTTTTTAAGCAAAGTTTTCTTTGTTTTCTAATATTAAAATCCTATGAACCCGGGTGTCAACCCGGGTACAACGGGTAATCTTTGTCCCGGGTAGACCCGTTGATCAACCGGGTTACCCGCAGGTCACCTGATGGGTTACCCGGGTTGTACTTTTTGAGCCAGGTTGAAACACTATTTGTCACAAACCTTACACTCGCGCTTCCATCCTCTAAAGATATGCTACTTTTCGATATAATTTTGTTTGTTTTTATTTGTAAATATATTATTCTGATTTTTCATTACTATATATTAACAGAAAAAAAATACGTGGTTAAATTTTTTTATCATGTGTCTTTCGTCACTGGTTCTGCTATACAAACCAATATGTGACACCATATACTTGTGCCCCATCTTACAAATTGCACAAATTATATATCTATGATATTTATATATTTTGCAAGTGATTTTGTAACAATCACTCAAATAAATTATGTTTAAACCTTATAAGAAAATATAAAATTTGATCTTTTAACAAGTATATACAAAAAATATGTAATTTCTGAAATAATCAATGCCTATTATTAAAACAAATTTTTTATTAATTTTAGTGGCTTAACGTATTTTAGCTGTTCTGGTTTCACTGACTGATCGGTCAACCAAAGTCATGTGATTGTGGCGCAGTAAAGACGATTTTATTCAAACTCCTCTTCTATAGCATCAATTTCATCCCAACTTAATTTAGAAATTTTCAATACTGAGTAAGATTTCACCTGTTGAATTTTATCCTTATCTATGCTACTAAAAAGGTTATAAATTTTTCTTGCTCTTTCTATTCTTTTCTTAATTGCATTTTTCGAGAGGTTAGATAGGAGCTGTTTTTCAACTTCTTTATAAAGTTTTCTATAAGATCTACACTCTTTATTAGTTTTCATATATTTGGCTAACCTTTCCTTAAGCTTTTTTCCAAAAGCAAAATAGCATATAATAATTTCTTGATTTACACTTTCAATTCATTCTTCAGGCTTAACAATTGCACTGTATAAATCAGAAAAATTACTTGGGCTTGTGATAGATTCAGCCTGAGAAGTGGTACTACTTGTTAAAGAACTTGGCGTTTTCAGCTCCTCAATAAGTTTTTTTAATATAAATACATTTCCATCTTTAGTCTTTACTTTCTTACTAGATAATTTATTTTTAGGAGTATCTTTACTAGGTTTTTTACGGAATTCTTTTTTTAAAGGAATAATGCTTTGGTCTGTTGGACAATTACCTTCACCATCTTCATTATCATCTACACCCGACATATCTTCTTCTATAATTTCTGGCAAATCTTGAGATTGGATACTATATTTTTTCATCCTTCTAACTACTGATGATGTACTTGATTCAGAGCCCCTTCTATGCCCTGTTTCAATAATTTCAACCTCTTTACTACAACCAGAAAATGGACACTTATTTGGAATTATAAGTAAAAGTTTTTTTTCAATACAAAGTCTATGAAATACATGTCTACAAGATAGTGTTATAAATGCCTTAAGAGGATATGAAATAATTTCTTTCCCACATTCTGAACAATTACTTAGATTTGGAATTTTTTTACCCTTAACAATACTATCCTTTAGAGTTTTTAAAATACTATATGCAAGATTTTTGATGTTATTAATAGGAGTAGATGGTGCAGAAGTAGAAGTAGTAGACATATTTCAATTATAACCAGATAAGTTTTATATAATGAAATCTCTTATATTTTGCTTATTTTTATAGTTTATTCTTTACGACTAACAAACCTAATTTGCAGATTTTTTAAAAAAACTAATTTCAGGTTTGGTAATCTGTTCATTCATGAATTAATTAGTATAGAGATCACACGTGATTTTACATAACTATATATCATTTTTAACCTCAATTTATACCTATAAAATCTAACAATGACCCATAATGGAATTTTATTATATAGAATAGATGATGCTATAGTGCCTATAGAATCAGATCTGTAAATTGCTAGCGTAATTTCTATTCTTGTCTCATTCTAACGTCAGAGGCATCAGATTGACTTGCATAATGCTAATTTAAAGATTTGTAATAGGTGTAATATGCCAGAACCTTCAAGAAAAAAGTTGATAGATTAATTACTTATTGATTGTGGAATTAACTATATGCATTTTATATGATTCGAAGATTTTAAATCAGAAAAAAATAAAACACTAGTAGTATATGTAGCTAAGCAAAAAATCTTTCAAATTACTGATTTGTATCCTGAACTAGTTGGATTGGACTGCTTAAGTAAATTTTTAATATGAGGTTAGCAAAAGTCTTCTTAGTTACCTCAAATTTTTAAGTTTATTAGCATTTTGATAATACCGATCTTGGGCACATTTCATTAATATACTACCTGGTTGATAAAGCCATTTCCTCACTGCACGCTGAATTATTTTAGCTGAATTTATTCATTTTTTCCATAAACGATATGCTCGCTAGATGATAATAGCCGGTTAAGTTTTTATATACAAAGTTTTAAAATATGCTACTTGGGTTTTAAATTCTCTAAATTCAGAGTTATTGGCTATATATTCTCTTCTGGTTAAATTATTTTTAATATGGAATACAAAGTTTCTTCAATAGTTCTTACCTTTTATTTCATGTCCTGGTATAAATAAATGTCTACATATATATTCGGGCGAACAATACTTTGCAAATCATAGCCAAGCTTCTGGTGTTTTTAAATTACTAATATAGTTTAAGCTATATTCAGATAACATGTATTAGATATAACTATTTTTTTCCTATTCCTCAAAAATATCTTGAATATTAGACATGTTTGACACGTGGATTTTATTAACTAAGACTTTGTATGTTTCTAATATAACATTAAAAAAACTTCTATAATTAGTTATAGCATTTTTTAATAATTTTTTTATCCAAAAAATATTTGTTATAAAGCATCTATTTCTTGAAATGAAGTCTAGCTTTCATAGCTCTTTCTTCTGCTTTCTCGGAAACTATTTCAGATACTACCAGGCATTTATATATTCTAATTCACCAATGTCTATAGGAAAGGGTTTAAATTCTATCAAGTAAGATCTAGTATTTGTTATCATATGGGTTTAACCTGATTTTATTTACTCTCTCCAGATATATTTGATGATCATAACTATGGAGACTATACATATCATGCCAGGTTAGTTTCTTGTTTCTCAAAGTTTCTACAGAAGAGAAAGGGGAGTTAAAAAAAAAAATCTCAAAACTAAAAAGAATTGTTCATCAACTCAAAAAAGAAAATAAAAAGAAAGATAAAAAAATTTTGAATAAGAATGAATTAATAACAGAATTCACCATTCTGTCTAAGAAAATTACTAAATGTGCTAATAAAATCATTTGAGCTATCGGGTGAGTCTATAATCATTGAAGAAGAAAGATTATTATAATAGGTAACTTCATCCTCTGATTTAGAACTAGATGATTTGAACTTTGATTTAGTTTCAGAGCTAGAAGACTCTGAATCGAAACAGTAGTAATCTTCATCAAAATTTTCTACATAAATATTTGGATTTAGCTAACCTATAGTTTTTTTGCTAACATTTTTGCAGTTTTCAAAATCTAAAAATTTTAAACTAAGATATAAATGAGCAATTTCTTTGATAGTTACATTAGAAATTTCACAAAAGCTAAGGTTAAAATGTTGGAGTTTCAGGCAGGAACGAATAATATTACAAATTGATAGTTTGCTAACAAATAAACAGTAACTTAGATCAAGATATTCTAATTTATGACATGTATGGGCCAGTACTTCAGTAACCTCATTGCCAATATCATTACTACCAATCTCTAGATGTATTAAATTTGGAGATGCCCTAATGATTGCTATAATTAATGCATCATTATAAAAAGCCATGACACTACTAAAGACAAAAAACTCTATACTAAGACATTTCTGTATTAACATACTAGCATCTTTGATTTTCCTCTTGCTAAATACAATATCAAGATTTCGTAAATTTGGGCACAAGTTTATGATACAACATATAGATTTATTTGTAATCCAATATGCTTTAGCAAAATGGAACTCTTGCAAATCATGACAATTTTCTGCGATTTCAAACAAAGATTTATCAGTAATATTTTTGCAATACGAAATATTTAGATGTTCTAATTTACATAATCATACAATTGCATATAAGCCTTTATTGGATATTGCTTAAGTGTCCTACATATTGAGATATCTTAAATTAGGATATGCTTCTGCTATTATAGATAACGCTTTATCACTAAAACCTATACTATCTTTGAAATCTAAATGAATTATATTTGGAAAGGTATCCACAATATCTTTTATTTTGTTATCTGATAGTAAATGATAATAAGTAATTTCTAGATGAGTTACATTCAAGACACAAGCTAGCTTATGCTTTTCATTCATTATTCTTATAAATCCTTTTCATCGAATACAATCTCTCTTATAATAAGTATAATCATTGGGAAATAATGATCATATTTCAGATTATTCCCCTTTAGTTCAATGTATTTCTATAAGCTAGGAATAGCACATTTATATCACAATTAGCAAACAAATAGAGCAGGATAAAGTGACTTATCTACCGCTAAAAAATATAGAATCTGCTCTAATAGTTCCGGTAAATTTATAATACTTAAATGCACTATAAATAGTGCATATTGTATATTATATCTTTAAACAAAAAAAATTTTTTGAGTTAGTGATCACTACTTCGGATCAGTAGAAGACTTAACTAGGTATTCAAATATTTTAGTTAAATTTTTTTTAACACCAAACTCATTTACACGCTTTTCATTGTCAGGTAATAATCTACAAAGAAATTTTACTTTAACATCTATATTATCTAAATTCTTGCTAATAGCAATAGCATATAGCTTTATTATTTTAATATATTCACTTACAAAGCTATCACCTTGTATAGAAGCTAGTATTTGTATATCCTTTTTAGGTTCTAAAACTGAAGAGCTCGGAGGGGATGACTGATTTACCTAATTAATAGTATCTCTTATAAACATATCACTAAATGATCCTCTCATTGTTATGTTTATTGCTAATATAATTATATCATATTTTTAATAAAAAAAATATTCCAAGTTTCTGGCAAAAGTTGGTCTAGTAAATTAACTCTATTCATTTTTTATATAGTTAGAAGATATTTTAATCAAAAAAAATTCTTTAGAACAACATAATGCTAATGATCTCTGCTCTGGACTAACATTGATTAGATGAGATTTTAACAATTGTGCCTGGTCTTCCAGACTTCCTCCTTCTAAATTTCTTTATAGGATGATGTGACAATAGTTCATTTACGTGGTCCTCCAAGGAATCATCTATTTGTTTATTTAATGAAGTTATTAACTTATTATATATTTTTCTAAACTTTGCAGATTTAGAATCTGTATTTACCTGATTTTTTTGCAGTACCTTCTTTTTAGAATAGTAGCATTTAATCGGTTTAGAATCTTCGGATGAACTAGAGTCAGATAAACTAGAGTTAGATCTATTTAGGGGCTCACAAAGTAAACCTCTCTTCTTATATTTTCTAATAATTAGCGATAGAACCATTTCTTGTATTAAGTCAACTAAAGTTTCTTTATCTACATATTCGTCCAAATCTTCTGTTTCAGCTTTCAATAAATTGTCTCTCCTTTTAAGCTTTTCATATTTGGAATAATAATCTTCTAATTTTTTTTCAAGCTCCTAAATCTGTCCAAAAAGTGCTTTATATACTTCTATATTCTGCTTGTTTAATCCAAATAACTTAGCAATTTTTTCTATATATCTGGTATTTTCTGGCTCGTTAAGTGTACTATCTGATAAATACTTTTGATCAGTTATCATTTTTGTGATATTTTATAGTATGATATATCTTAGATGAATAAAAAAATAAATTTAATAAATGACATCTAACCCACCCTCTAAGAAAATTTATTTGAAGAAAGTATTAGTTTTTATCAAAGAGCTTGAATACCTTTGCCTAATCATATAGCTTTCCCCATTTTCTTAAATTGACTATTGTATAATTTTGCACAGGAGAGGCATGGTTGTCTGGTAAATGTCGAAGGGATTGACTAGCAATAGTCATAGCATCTGATAAATTCTTCACACCATACAATACAACTACAAATACTGATCCTAATTTGTGCAAAGAGCTAGGAAGTAGTGGCTTATAAGGTTTGAGAATAAATTCATCTTTTTTCAAAAATAAACTTAAATATGTAGATCCATGTTTTCCTGGATCCTTTAACTCCCCGGAAACGATTGCTTCCTGAATCCATATAAGCAATTTTCTTGCTCGCTTCTTATTCTTTTTAAGTGATCTAAATACTCGAGGGATATTTTGTTGACCCCGATTTTTTGCATATCCAGTTATACCATCATTAGATATATACAAGTTTTTGATTTCAGCAAGGTAGATACAGAGCATAATTATTATATCAACTAGGGTCTGTTTGTCAGGTCTATTAGATATATCATACAAATCTAGCCTTTTCTTAACCAATTCTAATAAGAAGTGATCTGGATAATAGAGCCTTTTTTTTCATGTTATTCTCTATACTCTTTTTAGATTTTATTAGATAATTTGGTTATATCCGGATTTGATGTAGCAGAAATTATTTTTTCTGAAGCATTGAGGCCTTCTAATTCACTTCAAAGCCTAGAGAGACAGGATAAACTAGCGACAATGTTAGGGGCTGTTTCGACTAAGGTTTTAAATATCACTTTTATATCTCTTTCACTAAGATTATTCCAGACAATACACTGAGCCATTTCTTTAATAGTCTTCTTAGAACTAGTACTATCAGATATTTGATATATATTAACTTCTGCTTTTAAGCCTCCTTCTCTGGAAGTTACTTGACTTATGCATTACCCAATTCTCTAGTCAGAAATCAATGCAAATACCTACTCTTTGCTAAAACTATACTCTTTTTGAAAACAATTATGAGCCTAGCACCTTTTTTCTCTATCTTTCTGTGATACACCACTTGTCAAGAGTTCAAGTATTTCTGGTACATATCAGCTAAGCTTTTCAATACTCATTTTTTTGGTAAGCTTGTGTTCTGTAACGAACTTAGTTGTAATAGCGGACATGATAAGGTATATAGAATATATATAGTAGTTAGACTAATCTGTGTTTGTCAGATTATATTAGATGAGAAAAAGTTTAATTCGAAAAAAATATTCATGCTTAAAAAATAAAAAATAATAATTTGAAATTTTATATTGTCTAGTTGTAAAGAACAAAAAGTCCTATCTCTACCAATATCTATTAACTTGCTCTTA